TAAGCCCCATCAACGACCGATCTTTTAACAATGAACATTTTCTCCAATACCAGCTGTATGGGGAGGATGAAATGATAAATCCCCAGAGCTACAGCTCAGTTGAAACACTTTAAAGATCATATAGTTACAGGTGATCAATGAATGGATGAGGGTGGTGGGGAAGGGAGAGGGAAGGCAGGGTGATTCAGCAGATCAGAAAGCAGCACTAGCTTGTAGTCACTAATAGAATAAATTCAGAAAGTGATTTGTAAACCAAGCAGAGATGAGAAATAGCACTCAGAAATGGTAAGGCAGAAAAGGGTTGGTGCTCCATGGAAGTCAGCAGAGCTATGCTGGAGGAGAGATTTCAAAATATAACTCCAATGCAGACAGTTTTCCCAGGCTTGGTGGGGATGTTACTGGAATATCCATTAAAAGATAAAACATGGCTAAAAATGAAAATTGCAGGCTTACAGGCTAATTAAAAGGAGATGAAACTAAGATTAGGGTTCACCATTTAAAATAAAATTGTGCTCTCAGCCCTGCTTTCTTCTCAGCCATCATTTTCTCCAGATAGCCAACCCTTTCATTAATATAAAATCAGTGTTTTGCACTTCCACAGACACTGCCGAATCCCTGTTCAACGGTGGCTCAGCCTTGCAGCATGCCAAAAGCACTCAACCCAAGAACTTGCCACCTCCTTTCGATGAGGATTTATAGCCCCTTGACCCCTCTCGTGGGTCTTTCAGGTGGTTTTGGGCCAGAGCAAAAGCTGTAGGCAGTTGGAAAATGGTGTGTAATTAAGCGACCTCATCCACAGCACCTCCCCTCCCTCCAGCTCCTGACAGGGCTCGGTTTCTGCTCCCTGATCCGGCGCAACATGGGCAGGAGCAAGACGCAGCAGCAGCCTGCATGCCGGGCACTCACCGCACCAACCCTCTGCTCAAGACACGAAGAAAATAAAAGCCAACTACCTGCTCCGTCCACATGACTTCACTGTCCATCTTCACATTTGCAAAGGCTTAGCTCTCACGTCAGGCTAGTCTGAGGTTAGCAGCCGTCTAAAGGGAGTCTGTGACAGCTCAGTTGTCCCTACGGCAGGCATGGAAGCGGTGGTGGCTCTAAGCAACACCAATCTGATTGTGGTTGGAAGGGCGTTTCTTTCACTTAACTGTGCTTCTTATCGAGAAAACAAGATCCAGGAGGTGGTATTCGTCTTTAGCATTTATTTATCATTGGAAAAAAAAAACCCTTTGAGCAAGCAAAGATCACAAGCACGTCACAATCAATTGGCTATACATTAATCTGTGTGTGTGTGTATGTGTGTGTGTGTGTGTGTGTTATTCTCATTAGAACAGCAAGAATGAAAAAGCACCACGAGGAAGTGTGCTTAACATTACAAGAGACAATTTGTGATATGCAACCAAACCCAGGCCACAAAATATTAATTAGACACTTCCTATCTGCCTCCAAGAGGCAAGAGTTTGTGGAATTCATGGGAGCCACGTTTTCACGCCAGACGCGTTGCAAATGAAGAAGCAGGTGATCGGTGTGCAAAGCAGTCAGAAAAACAGGAGCTCAGTCAGCAATTAGCACCATTTTGCAGAAAGGAGAAACAGTACAATACAGTGAAAATGAGAAAGCAAGCAATAGACAGCATAGGAACTTTCACAGGGTGAAAAGCAAAACATTTCTTTCTTTTTACAAGGAAAGCAAAACATATTACAAATTAGCGGTGAAACACAATCAGCATTGTGGTAGCTGGAAACATTCTTTCCCAGTGGGATAGACAAGCTCAGAGTCCAAAGTGAACTTGAAACGGCAGAGATTGGGTCTCCTTTCTGATAAACCTGAGTGGGTTCGATGGGCATAAAGTCTGTGGAAGGTAGAGCAATGCAGGATTTCACCCTGAGGCCTGACTCTGCTGCAGTTCCTGGCATTCAGTGCAATGCTAAACAGTGTCCTTGGATGTGTGCTGAGGACCTGGTGCAGAGGCCAGGATTTATACCTCTATTTTGCTGCCATCTGAGAAGGTCCCTAGGCCCGACTAGTCTCCCAGGCTCTTTGCAACCTTCCAAGGATCATTCATCCCACCCAAAGAGAGGTGTCCAAAATAGGTAGCTCAATGGCCCTTGGAAAGTTCCTTCGCTAGAGAGAGAGTGTAGACCACTGGCTAGCACTTCATACATAACTTTGTAGTTAGATGCCACCAAAATCTTCATGTATTAAAGGAAACGTAAGGTCATATTCCAACATGCACTGCACATGTGTCATTCAAACACCGTGATGGATGCTCCTCATTGAGAAGAAGCAACTCTGAAGCCCTAGGTGATGAGTGGTTGATCCAGAGTCATGGAGATGCTTGGATTAGGTGGTCTGAGCATCTCAGTGATGTTCCTTGGGCAAAATCTGGTTACCCTTGAAGTCAAGGGCTAAATTCCAATTGGATTCAAGGTGAAATGGTGGCAAGTGTGCTGTCTCTTTGAATGTGAAGCTTCAGGCCAAAAAATGATTGGGAGAATCGTTTGGCACGGTCTTTCCTTATGTACAGTGAGACTGGTGTGTTGGGCTATTGGTAATGTCTGCGTGCCTTCCTGACCTGTTCTGCCTGCTGTGACACGTCATCTTCACGGCTGTTGCTATATCCTGTGATAGGAAAGGAGTGTGAAGATGGATGAAACATCTAAATGCCAAGGAATCACACCAAGTCTTGGAAGCTCAGGCTTCTCTGGCCAGTTGTCCCTTGTGCGGCAGGGTGGGAAGAGCTGTGGGCGGCACTCCTCTCCACCAGCTCAACGGAAGCCTTTCGCCGAGCTGCTCTGGAGACAGAGCTGGGCTTTGCACTCGAGCAGGGCTGCAGGGGCTTCTGAGCACTCAGAAAAGCAGTGGTCAATATGGACAGGTCAGCGTCTCCATGGAGCATGCACATCAAAAAATGCACTACATTCGCAAAGATTTCCACAGTTTTACTTCCTGGAGGATTTCCCTGGTTTCCTCCTAAACACTGGAGGTTTAAATATATATATATATTTCTATATATGAATATATTTTTTCCACATACACAACCTGACTAGCTCATAGCACACAGTTCTAACACAGCTAAGCTTGGAAATACACCACTGAATTCAGAACACTACACTTACTTATAGTCAAAGCTTTAGGCTGTTAGCGCAAGGCAAACAGGACACATCACACAATACACTGAACTTGGCATTTATTCATTACTAAGGCCAGCAAATGTCACTATCTGTATACCACAGAGCTTTCCTCCTCTTTGGAAACGTTCTCTCAGCCTTGTAGCCCATCACTCATTTATGTTTCCAAAAGACCCAATTCTAATGGGGTAAGACCCCCAAAACAGGACTCCTCACCCTCCTGGCCCATTCCTTTTTCTGTTAGATACTTTCACATCTCTAAAATATCCTAGCAGCAAGACTTTGCTCATTTAAACACCTCTACAGCAACACAGTTCGGAGAGTCTCTTCTTACACCGCCTCCCTACCCTACTTCCCATCTCTCTCTTCGTTCTTCCCAATTGTCTGTTCTCTGAAAGTTTCAAGCTGGACTGAATGTTAAGACAGAAATATTGAGCTGCAAATACAAAGGAGAGCCCTGCATCTTGACTTGCAGCCACTCGGCTACAGGAGAGTTTAACAGCTCAGTTTGGTGGGATCAAGATTAATCCTTTCACACTTAGGACCCAATCCAAGAATTAGGCACGTAAATTTGGATTAGGACCATACCTCTCCCAGCTCCCATTGACACAACCACCCAAATTTTGGGGTATGCAATGCCAGTCTGTTGAGCCAGTTCATACTCGCTAACAAATGGTTCCAGCTGTGTTTACAGCTTCCAAACTGGTCTGGCTGCGCATGGAGATTTCCTAGAGTAAGAGCACAGTAAATAGGATTGAAACCCTGAGATCTTGTCTGGAGAGAATCTAGGATCCCAGCAACTGGTTTATGGCCCTCTTAGGATGCTTACAAGCCAACATGTACTCCAACAGCTGGTAGAGTCAAAACAGCGGGGGCTGACAGCTCTAGCCAACCTTGGTGACTCATTTCCTTCTACCCCTTGGAAGGTCATGTCTGCAAAATAAACCTCTTTCTGAAATCTAGCTCTGTCTACTGGCACCCCAGAAGTGAAGAAAGCAGACCAAGATTCAAAACAAAACAGGATTAACTAAAAAGATCCATAACCTAGGGGAAACAATAGGGAAGAACAGCCTGCTGATAATCTAATCTGACCTGCCACACACTTGGGAAGTCTTCACTGCTCTCTGCACCTTTCCTCACTCCTCTCTTTTTTTTTTTACATCAAGGATTTCAAGTAGTTTTGATGAGTGAAGCTGCCTTGATTCAGCTAGAACCACCCCAGTTACCCTGGGGGAGAATTTGGTCCTTCATCTGCACGGGATGTCCTCTCCCTTTGCTTCTTGGAGCAAAAGTCCCACCAGTGTCACCAGGGGAAATCACTCTTGGCCACACCACTGATTCTAGCAGATTTACAGCAGAGCCACAGCATGAACCTCTGATCCCCTCGGCCTCCAGAACCTTTCACCTGTTGACACCAGTGGGAGATGACCCAACGGCCAACCCCAAAAGGGACTCATAGGATAAGAGCACAGCCCCTCCATGGCTCAATGCCACTTCCATGCCATCCAAGTGTAGAAGGCCCAAGCCTGAGGGAAGGGACAGGCTGTTGGACGCAATCACGCTTTATCCATCACCGTCATCTCCTACGACTCCCGCCTGTGCATTCCCACGTCCCTCACTCTGTGCAGAGCCGTGTTGTGCAGGCAAAGCAGAACAACCTGACCTCAGAAACAAGGATTCCCTAATCCTCCTTGGAAATAAAACAGAAAAGCTTCTAATACAATCAGAACAAAAAGCAGATTAGAAGCCTCTAATTAATTTTGTGGCCTTTATTTAATCAAGAGAAAAAAAAAAAAAAGGGAAGAAAGGAAGAAAGAAAGAAAAGGAAAAAAAATGAGAAAGAAAGGAAAGTGCAGTGACATTTACTCTTTTGCCTCAGCCAGTTTATTGTTCATCTCTTTACTTTTCTCCTTGTCCTCTGGTTTTGCTGTGTTGGAGGTCTCGGCGCTCTTTTTCTTGGCAGCCCGGCCAGATGCAATCTGCTTGTCTTTGGCCTTTTTCAGGGGTTTATGGCTTGTTGTGGTCTTTTTTGGTTTGGAAGGCTTTACGCTAGGCTTTTCCACCTGCATGGACGGCGAAATGCAGAACAACAACACAGAGATGGAGAGAGAGAGAGAGAGAGAGAGAGAGAAAGAGAAAGAGAGACACAAGGACAGGTGGAAAACAGGATTTAGATCAGAAAC